CCGTGTCCCCTGAGTCCCCTCCAGACAGCCCTGCTCGCGTTGCACGTTCTTCAGGGCCTCCCTCGTGGATGTCCTCCCACCTCTGGCGAGTGTCCCAGCTGGAGGCTCTCTGGTCCTGATTCAGTGACCCCAATCCAGTGAGGAGGGTGCGACCCAGTATGTCCAACCCCATGGCTACGCAAAAGGGAACCTCCGATCCCATAACTATAGGTTCGAAGCATAAAAATATGGTGATGTTCATAGGTCTCTGGTATGAACCCTTTCCATTTACTTCAGCAAAACTCCTTCCTGGGCTGTGTGTTCATTTTGGGTTCTATCTTGTTGATCTGATACCTGTTACCTTTACAATGCTGCTCCCACTCTTCTGTGGCCACTGTCCCAAGTGTTGGATGCTGGAAGACCCCTTGCCTTTCCGAGGTGGTCCTTGGGTGACTGGTCTCTGGCCCCATGCAGGTGCCCGGCCACTGACCTGCTCTAACTCCCACACGGCAGCCCTGCTGTGGGTTCAGGGTCCCGGCCTGCAGCCCTCCCTGGCTTCGGCCCCTCTGAACCACCTGCTTGCAGGCTTGGAATGGCACCCTGACTGGCTCCTGCCCCCCATTACCTGCCACCCTGTAGTGAAGAGAGATCACTGTGGCCTTCAGAGGGGTCTCTCAAGGTCATCGCAGAGAGGGAACCACGTTGGGGCAGGATCTGCCTTACTTAGGGCCAGAAGCCATGTGCAGAGGGCCGGGCGTGCTGGCGGGAGGCATGTGGTCTGAGTGCAGAGGGCCCAGCCCTACAGGGAGAGATGGAGGCGCTGGGGAGCTGTCTGTGTTTGACACATTATTCGCTGAGCGGCTACCTTCCCAAGACTTTGTGACCTCACAGACTTCTGCTCAGTAGGGATGCAAATGATTCCTGCCTCTTGGAAAAGACGACTCAGAAGCTATGGTACCGTTTGCCCTGTAGGACCACAGCCGAGTTTGTGGCAATCTTGTTTAACGTCCTTTCCCCGTTGCTTATAAACACCCAGCTCTCAAAATGCTCTCTGTGCCAGCTTAGCTGCCCTGCTGGCCCCCTCACTCATGAGTTAAGCAAATGTCTGATGCATGCTCACCACTTACTTACAGGAGAGGCTTTCTTTAAACCACAGACCGATTCTCCCTGCAAAATGCTTTTGAGGCTGGCCCAGGGAGCCTTGGTTTGTCTCTGAACAACTGCCTCCAAGCATGATAATAATCCACTACGACAAGCCCGTCCCCCCGCCCCATGGCACTGCCTCTGTCCCCGTCGCCCCCTCCCCCTTTTTCCTTTGCTTTGGCCAGGAATTAAAAGGGGGGAGAAGGCAGGGCAGAGAAGCAGGTGCAGCCGGCCCCCAGCGCCCTAGCCCCGCACAGATGCCTGGGGCTCAGATGCAGGCACCGCCTCTGCTTGGCTCATCCCCACCCTCTGCACCTCCGCCTCCTGAGGCACGTTTAGAGGTGCTAGCTGTGTCTTTTGCTTTCCTTTGTGCTTAATGACTCATCTGAAAAGTTCAGGGGTGCTCTAAAGGGCTGACTCTCCGCCCTCCCTGCTCCAGGCAGGGCTGGCTCCGTTCCAGAGGAGAGCGGCAGGCCCTGGAGCGGAGGCGGAGAGGGGCTGCGGCCTGGCTGGAGCGCGCTGCCCAGGGTCTCGGGCTGACCGGCAGGGAGGGGACAGAGCCATGAGTGGGCACCTGTCCTGGTCTCTCCCTTCCCTGACTGCCTCCTCCAACATGCTGATGCATCAGCCCAGGTGCCCGAGTGGGGACGGGTCAGCTCGGGGCCACCACGGAGGTCCATGCAGCCGGCCACCGGCTCCCCGGCCCAGCTGCGGCTTCCTTCTCGCGGCTGCCCTGCGGGCGGAGGGGCCCCTTCACACGGGAAGGCAAGGTGGGTTTCTTGTTCTATCGGGGGGCTTATACTTCGGGCCATCCCTCTGTGGAATGAAGACAGATATTTTTTTCTTATCTTAGGAATGGGTTTGTTGGAATTCTTCATTCATTTATTCTCTCAGCAAATATTCATGGAGCAACTGCTAAATTCTAAGCACAAACAATGCACGAAAGCACAGCTGCCCTCGTAGTTTTTGCCCCATGGAGGGGGAGAGGGACCCCCCAGGGCTATTGGCTCCCCACTTCTGCCTTGACGAGCCTCCGCAGACACACTGGGCGACACAACAGTCATTTGCTGTGCCACAGTCCTGGGCGGGGTCTGGCTGGGCGTCCAGGCTGAGATCGCCGTGTGGGCAGGCGGCTCGGGGAGGAGTGTCTCCATGCCTCTCCCAGTGCCGAGGCCCTCGGTGCCCCGGCTGGAGGCACCCCTCCCACTCTGCCCCTGTGGCTGCGTCTCCCTCTGACCCTCCCCTCCTTCCTCCCGCGTCCGTTTTAAAGGACCCCGTGATTACACTGGGCCCAGTTGTATGATCCAGGATTATCTCCCCATATTAAAGCCAAATGATTAGCAGATGCGAGTCCCCTTTGCTATGTAACCTAAATATTTATAGGGTCTTGGGATTAGGGTGTGGACAACCTGAAAGACCACGATTCTGCCCCCACACAAATAAACACATTCAAACTAGTAAATGTCATGGTATTAACTGTGAGAGGTGACGCGTGACAGCCACAGACGGGTGGCCAGGAAGGCTGACTGAGGGACGGACAGAGGAGGCGATCGGGTAAGAGAAAGAAAGGAAAGACGTCTGAACTGTACAGGAGGCGCAGTTATCTCTGCGGATGGCACGATCTTACATGCAGAAAACCCTAAAGACTGATTAAAACAGCTGTTAAAACTAATAAACAAATTCAGTGAAGTTGTGGGATACAAATTCAGCTCAACATACAAAAGTTTGCTGTTTCTATATATGAACAATGAACCATCTGAAAAGGAAATGAAGGAAACAATCCCATTTACAATAGCAATGAAAGGGACAAAATAATTAGGAATACTTAACAAGGAGGTAGAGACCTGTACAATGAAAATCACATGACCTTGCTGAAATCAGACACAGATAAATGTAAACACATCCCATGTCATGAAAGAATTAATATTGCTAGGATGCCCGCACTACCCAGAGTGACCTGTAGATTCAATGCAATCCCTATCAAAATCTCAATACCATTTTATATGGAAAAAGAAAGTTTATATCCTAAAGTTTCTATGGAACCACAGAAGACAAAATGACCAGCGTAAACAACCTTGAGAAGGAAGAACAAAGCTGGAGGCGTCACACCTTCCGACGTCAAAGTTACAAAGCTACAGTAATTAAAACAGTGTGGTACTGGCCTAAGACAGACACAGAGACCACAGGGTCAGAACAGAGTCCAGAAGTAAACCCATGCTTATACGGTCCACTGGTCTTTGTCAGCAGTGATAAGAACACACGATGGAGGGATCACAGTCTCTTCAATAAATGGTGTTGGGAGAACTAACCAGGGCCCACATGGATGCCGTGAAACTGCACCCTTACCGTACATCGCACCCAACAATCAATCATGATCAGCTGAACACCTAGAGGCAAGACCTGAAACTGTAAAAATCCTAGAAGAAAACACAGGGGAAAGCTTTGACAGTGGTCTTGGCAATGGTTTCTTGGATATGACACCAAAACACAGGCAACAAAAGCAAAAATAGGGAAGTGGGGCCACATCAAATCAGAAACTGCTGCACAGCCAAGGACATGGGCAGCAGAGGAAGGAGCTCTGCAGGGCTGGCCAAGGTGCGTGGAAGTGCACAGAAGGCAGGTATGGGACACAGGACGTGGCTGGAGTGGGGGGGCTTGGTTTGGGTGCGGCCCTGGAAGAGAAGGGAGGGGAGGGTTTGCAGGAGGAAGGCGAGGTCTCGGGTGCAGGATGAGGGCTGGAGTGCGGACTTGGCTCTGTGGACGCCTGGGGAGGCCCAGGGTGCCAAGAGGCAGGGGGTTCAGGTGAGGTGGGGAGGTACCTGAGGGGAATAGGCAGGTTGGAAGGTGCCAGGGAGAACGTGGGGTGAAAGGTGGGTTTCATTTAAGGGCGGGGAAAGGCCAGCTTCGGGAAGCTGTCAGATTTGCAATGTGGGATGTGCAGCCCGCTTCCCGAGCACTCCAGTCCGTTTTCAGAGCGGTCAGGTCTTGGATTTCCTTGACAGAGAAGCTGCCCCTTCTTATGGGCCTCCGCCAGGGGTCACCTGAAGAAAGCAGCCCTTTTCCCCTAGAAGGCTGACTCAAGCCTCCACTGGCCGCGCTCACTGTTTCTCAAGCATTTTCAATTTCCAGAGCACTTCTTTTCCTGATGGAGGTTTACATTATCTGAGTTCCAGGGTGTCCACAGTGACAATTCTCCACATGGGGTCTGTGCACACAGGATCTGTGATTTATTGGTCCCAGTTATCCTGGCTCTGAATTGACTGCTGACCTTTGGCAAACTGAAGCCTAAGTAAGGACAATCAACATGCAGAGCAAATTTCCACAACAGTTAACTGCATTTCTAAAGCACTTCCTTGATAAAATCCACATGTTTATGTGTGCACCGAAAACAAGCCCTGGAAAAGATGGATGCACGGGTCAGGCCTGTTTGGCTGAACAAGAGGCTGCCGAGGGAGTCGCGAGAGCTCAAGCTCAGTGTGATGGGATCTCAATGCCACAGACAAATTGTGGGGTGTTAGTGAGACTGGGGTTCACCCGGCTCTCACTCAACAGATGATAGGACATCTGTGTGCGAGGCGAATGGTCCACAGGAGCTGCAGACGGAGCCTGGGCCTCTTCTAACAAAGACGAGGGGCCCTAGGGCCACATTCCCATAGGTCCCACCTGCAGCTCATTGCGGCTTCTGAACCTAGCGGGGGAACTCAGGGACAGCACTGTCCCTGACGTAGTGTCATTGGATTCAGGGGGCCTTGTATGTGTCTGATGCGTGCATGCTCATTATTCCTCCATGCCACTGAGTGAATGGAGAACAAAGCTGAGATGGGTGATTTGTACATATGTGAACATTCCCTAGAGTAATAAAAGGTCTGTATTTCTAGAACCATCTGCTTAGAACAACTGGTGCTTCCAGTGACCCACAACCAACATGCCAGGATCTCCCTGGCTGTCCCCAGATCTGGTAACCGGGACTAGGCGGATGCGCCCCAGCAGAGCATCCTGACGCCCTTGCTGCCTTCCGGGGCCACATCAAGGTCAGTCGTTCATTTAAAGAATCCCAAAGGGCATGTGACCTCAATTTTATAATTTCCTCACTGAAATTCAAGAGAAATTTCTTAGCTGTTCCCTATTATCCCCTTGTTGCTCAGAAAAGTTAAAGTTTAAATGGCAATTCTCTTTAGAATTTTATATCTGTTTCCAAACATTCTCGGTTTAATTGCTAACTGATTCCTTAGAAAATTGAATCACTATATTACATTGTTTTCATGCACCAGTGGCCTGGGAGAAGTTGGCAGAGGCCCCCACAAAAGTTAACAGTGTCAGTGCACCAAGCTGTGAGTACTTCATTAGGTGAGTTTCTAGCCGGGGTTTCCTCCTGATTTTGTCCCGTTTTCATATTTCTGTCCCAAAGCCCCGAGTTGGATGGATACATGTCAAAGCCAGGTTTTTAGTATCGAAACTCTTCAGCTGACATTCAAGTTGCTGCCACTTCTCTTTCCCAAGGCATAAAGCAGGTGACTGCAGTTGGTCGGCGGGGTGGCAGGGAGGCTGTTGTAGTGGGAAGACAGAGAAGTGGTGGCCCCCAGGATGCTCTTCCCCAGGGACGCCACCTCCCTCCAGGGATAGCCTTGACTTGCTGACGGCCACCAACCCCTTCAGACCTTGCTCACACTTCCTGATTCTCCTCTTTATCTGTCTTTTCTAGTCTTCCTTGTGGGCGGGGACTGCCTGTGGACAGCTGGGTGTGGTGGGCATGCAGCAGGTGCCCAGCGCCTGGGGACTGGCAGGATCCCTGGTGGCGGGTCGCCGTCTGGGGCGCCACAGCAGTGACATGTTCTCGAGCCGCTGGTGCCTGACACAGCGGGGAGAATGCCCAGGCGGCTCCTTGTTTTCTCCATCATGCACCTCATTTTCTGGACCTCGGTGTCCCCCGCTGGCGTACAGGCCACCTGTGGGTTCTCCGCCCACTGTTTACTTCAGCAGTTACCGGCAATCACCTGTGCACATGTCCTTGCAGCCGCACCGCGAAGCTCCCCTCTGCAGGGGCTTCTCCTCTGCCAGCAGCAAAGGGTACATGGCACTGCCTAATGGCACCGGCTTCCCTGGCCCTGGGGGGCCTAGCTGGAGAACAACGTCCCTGCAGCACAGACGGGCCCCACTGCCCCACTCCCCCAGCTCTGTTCCCCTTCCTGCCATTTCTACCTGCTCAGGATCCCCCATCCCCCAGGAGTGCTTCCCCAGTAGACCAGCCACTCCCAAGGCTGTGCCTCCTCTCTGCCTCTCGGGGCCCCAGGGTAAGTGAGGGTCATGTCCTGGGTGGCTGTGGATGTTCCGAGCTGGAGGAGATGGGCCACAGGCGGAGGTGCGGAGCAGCACACCCTGGCTCTGACACGGGACCTCCTGAGGGCAGGCCACTTGGGCCCGGCTGGCCTGAGACTGCCTGCATCTGGCTCCTAGGGCCGCCACTGTGCCTGAGGCCGGCCGCGGGACCCCAGTGCTGGTCTGTGTTCCTGGGCCCCATGGTGGTGTCTGGCACCGAATGGCCCTCATGCCCAGTGTTGAGGCTCAGGCCCAACTCTCCAGCCTCCAAGCCGGCCTGGAGGGAAGCCGCCGTGCCCCACACAGTGACCTTGCTGCCTGGCCTGGATCCCCCAGGGCCTGGGTGCAGGTGGAAGTGTTTCCACCACCAGAACACCATTTGTGATGACTTTCTCAAGTTCTCTTTTCCCCAGCAAGTTGAGTTTTAACACCTGTGTTAGAATCTACCTGTTCACCTTAGGCATGGCCCCTAAGGGGGGAGAAGAGCTGTAATTATACTCACCCCACTCACCCCAACACTCTGACCTCCTAGAAAATTGAAAAGGGGAAATCATCTTCTTTTTTTTTAACCTAACTAACTCTGTGACTGGTGACTGACTGTCACAGGAGAAGGCTGGCTGCTGGGAGGGAGGGGAGAGGCCAGTCACCTGGGTGGCCGGACGTCAGGCTGGGGGCCAGGCTGTTTGCCAGGGTTGTGGCAGCTCCGAACGCCCAACCCTTGTCTTTTTACAGGTTGGGGAAGAGCCGCATGGATCGTGCTCTGGGCACCCCTGAGGTAGAGCCTGGATCGCCATGCCCCCAGTGCCCACCAGGCTCCCGAGCACGTTTAATGGGCTCCCTTGGCTTAAGGAGGCTCCCTTCAGCATCAGCGTCTTTAAAAAATATTGTGTGAAATGCTCATAACTTATATTTTACCACTTCAACCACTTTGAGGTGTACAACTCGGTGGCATTAAGTACATTCATGTACATGCCACCCCCAGGCATCTCCAGAACTTGTTCTTCCCAGCTGGAAACCCTGCCCCACTGACCACTGCCTTCCTTCCCCTCCCCCAGCCCCAGGCCCCGCCTTCTATTCTGTCTCTGAATCTGACCCCTGTAGGGGCCTCGCAGGAAGTCATACTGTACTTGCCCTTTTCTGATCAGCTTATTCACTTAGCATTATGTCTGCAGGGCTCACCCACGTTGTGATGCATTAGGGGTTCCTTCCTTTTTTAAGGCTGCATAATATTCCCTTGTGTGGCGAAGCACATTTGTTTTCCATTCATCCCTTGATGGACTTGGGTTATTTCCACATTTTAGCTATTGTGAATAATGCTGCTATGAATATGGGTGTGTAAGTATCTCTTTAATACTCTGCTTTCAATTTTTTTGGTGTATAACCAGAAGTGGGATTGCTGATCATATAGGAAGTCCATGTTTGCTGGTTTTTTTTTTTAGAAATTGTAATACTGTTTTCCACCTTTTAAATATTTTTTCAATATTTTATACATTTTTTAATTGGAAAAAGGAGCTCTGATTTTGTACCACTTGGGGAACTTTGATCAGAATGTGTGCACTAACTGTGTGCATTCCTCCCTATTTTTAATGTGGAAAACAGTTTCATTTTTTCTTTCTGTGATTGAAGAGCAAGCCTGATCCCTCAAAGTTATGATGTTTGATGTTCAGTATCACAAATGGAGTGTGTGGGAATCATTTTCAAATTGCTCCTTTCAGGGAAGAGAAGCCCGTGAAAAGAAAACGGGTTTGAGAGTGGATGAGGATAGAAAACAAGACCTTCTTTCTAGAAGGCTTCACCTTTGAATATCAAATGAATTTGTAATAGGTAATGATTCACCTGGAACAAACTTCAAAAGGTATAAAAGGGGGTACAGTGGATGGAAGTGCTGCCCCCCAGCCCTGTCCTCAGCCACCCGGGAACTTCCCTTCCAGAGACGTCCAGAATTACCAGCCTTGTGTGTCCCCGTGGGTCCATGAACATGTAGTCGAGAAGGAACCTACTCTTTTTTCCCTTTTTTAAAAATAACACAAATGATACCCTATTATACACCTGACTCTGGGTCCTAACTGCAAGCTTTGAGGATTTATTTATATCGGTTCACAAAGAGCTGTCACATTCTATGTAATAGTTGCACAGCATTTCATTACTGATAAATCATTTTAAAGGGAAATTATTCTTTAAATATTGTGTTTCTGATTTAAATGAGGTCTAAGGCTCTAGTTGCCTGAAGCCTCGGGGAAGAAGTTGAATAGCTCAAAAGCAGCTGCTATTGCCTTGAAATGTAGTTGAAAAAAAAAAGTTTTATTGAAATCTAATTTAATACAGGAAAGTGCACATATCATTACATGCACAGCTCTTGAGCTTTCATAGACCGAACACACTGTGAAAGAGGCGTTCATATAGAGAACAGAACGAGTCGGAACCCTAAGGCAACGCGTGCTTTCGGCAGGGGGTCTCTCTGCTCGGGTTCATGTCTGAAAAAACCCTGGAATTCAGCCCTGAGGCAGTTTCCCCAGCCTGGGGACCCAGGACCACGGGGCCAGGACTGGGCGCTGGCTGCAGGGAGGAGGTAGGTCCTGGGCGCCGTGCCCATGTGCCACCACGCCCTCTGCAAGGAGCTGCCCTGACGCCCCAACTTGCCAGCTGTGTGATCTCAAGGGCCCTCCTCGCTGTGAAATGGGCCTAACTGTGGGCAGCCGGATGATTGAGTGGAGATGCGGGGCTTGGGGCACGCGGTGAGTCTACCTGGAGGGAGCGGCCACACTGCCCTTCATGCCCAAGCCACCTGTGGGCATCGCTGCCACACGGCTCCATTCTTGCCGCAGGGAGAAAGGCACTTTCTGGAAGCCAGAGGAAGCCAGCCATAGGCATGTTTGGTGCAGCCAGGGTGCAGGGTTCCTGACAGCAGGGCTAGGGGGCTGAATCTGCATACATGGTGCCCAGGAGCCCCAGAGAACCTTCTGATTATGCCCTCCCGGGTGCCCCTGAACAAGACTGGGTGGGGATGGGGTGGGTGCCCTGGGAAGCTTCCAGATCTGCGCTGCAGAGTTCTCCTGACCCAGGGGTCCCTCCCCCATGCACAGCAGGCAGCGCCTCCCCAGCCATGCAGGTGGTACAAGGGGCAGGCGGGGGCACCTGTGGGGGCCACCTCAGGGCAGGTCCTGTCACTGCTGCCCTGCGGGAGGTGCCTGCCCAGCCTGGGGTCCCAGGCCCCTCCACTCACTGGACCCAAACCCTCAATCTGGTGGCAGTGCCCGGGGGTGCTGCCCACCTGCTCGTGCCTCCACTGATGGATGACACATGCTACCCAGCTGCTGCCCTTTCCTTTCCAGGCCCGGGAACCCGCTCCTCTGCTCTTGTCTTCTGGGGGTAGCGGGGGCTGCAGATCGGAGATTAAGTGAAGAAACTTCAAAGCGCACTTTGTGGTCTGGTGGCATCTGGCTGGGCAGCGTCATCCAGCACTTGGGAAACAGACCAGGGGCTTGGTTTGCAATGGCCTGGGGCCACGGGGGGGCTGCAATGGGGGGACTGTGGGGGGTGCTGCGGGGGTGCTGTGGGGCCTGCCCTGTGTGGGGCGGACAGTCCAGTGTCAGGGCCTCTCGGGAAGGGAGGGCCCAGCATGCCTGCCTGCAGGCTCCCGGGGCCCCTGCCGGCCTGCCTGGGTCGTAGGACTTAGCTGTGGGGGCAGTGAGGCTCCTGCTCAGACCAAGGGTGGGGAGGGCGTTGGACGGTGTGGATCTAAGCATCAGGGCTGGAGGCAGGAGGGAGGGTGCAGGGCCAAGCAGTGCCAGGCTGGGATGGGCAGGACAGGTGCTGGGCGGACACCCCTGCCCTCTGGGAAGCCTCTGGCTGGCCCCGCCTGAGTTGCTCAAGGGGAGAGGGACAGGAGACCAAGAAGCGCACTGCTCCTCGGGGGACCAGGACCCCCAGACCCCCTTCAGAGCGGCTGGAGTGACCAGGAGAGCGGCCCAGGTGGGACGAGGCCCCCAGCAGATGCGGGGGCTGACAGCAAAGCCTGTGTGCCCTTCGAGGACCCAGGTGGGCAGTGTCCCCAAAGGGCTGTGTGGTCAGCGACAGGGTGGCATATCCCTGACATCACCGCATGCGCCCCAGTGCTGTGCGGTCAGCACAGAGGCCCCCGTGAGGACCATGTGCGGCCAGTGGGGCGGCCCAGGCTGAAGGCACATGGGGCAGAAACCTGCCTGGCTCGGCCACCAGCCCGTGTCCCTGTGCCCTCCCCTCCAGTGCCAGCACTGCGTTTTAGCGGAAGAGCCAGTCTCTCGGTGGGCTCCGGTTTTGTGCGTCTGGGAGCCTGAAGCAAAGGTCCCTTCAGCTCCTTCCTCTGCCCACTGGGGGCAAGTTGTCCTAACGGGGTTGATGCCGCAGGAGCACATTACATGTCCTGTCTTGGGGGGCCTGTCCTGTCCTGTTCTGGAGGGGGCTGTCCTGTCCTTCGGGGGCCTGTCCTGTCCTGTCCTGGGGGGGCTGTCCTGTCCTTGGGGGGCCTGTCCTGTCCTGTCCTGGGGGCCTGTCCTGTCCTGGGGGACATGTCCTGAGGAGGGGCCTGTCCTGTCCTGGGGGGTCCTGTCCTGTCTTAGGGGAGCCTGTCCTGTCCTGGGGGACATGTCCTGGGGAGGGGCCCTCACACAGCGCGGATGCAGAAAAACACGCTGAGAGCCATATTGCGGGTCACACCATTGTCATCAGGAGGGGTGACCAGGAAGACGCCTTCCCGCTGTGCACGTGTGACCACCTGTCATCCCAGCGGGAGGCCCCGGGCTGCTCTGCCCCTGCCTGTCCCTAGGCGTCC